TGATGTTCGACTATATTGAGTACAAGACTCACCTAAGAACGAACGCGAGGTTCGTGATGTTCAACTTGAGAACGAACGCGAGGTACGTTTGAAAAATGAACGTGAGGTTCAACTTGAGAACGAACGCGAGGTTCGTTTGAATTGAGCACAGGGCTTGCTTGAGGTGAACACAAAGTTCGACTTGAATTGAGCGTGAGGCTCACCTAAGAACTGAGCGCGAGGCTCAACTTGAATTGAGCGCGAGGATCACCTGAGAACTGAGCGCGAGGCTCAACTTATATTGAGCGCGAGGCTCACCTGAGAACTGAGCGTGAGGCTCAACTTGAATTGAGCACGAGGCTCACTTGAGAACTGAGCGTGAGGCTCAACTTGAATTGAGCGCGAGGCTCACCAAAGAACGAACGCTAAGTTCGTTTGAATTGAGCGCGAGGCTCAACCTGAGAACGAACGCGAAGTTCGTTTAAATTTGAGCGCGAGGCTCAACCTGAGAACGAACGCAAAGTTCGTTTGAATTTGAGCGCGACGCTCACCTTAGAACGAACGCGAGGTTCGTTTGAAGCTTTCAAGCCTCGCCAAAATAGGTAACCACCTCCTTAATTTTTGCCACGTTTTCACGCACGAACCCTTAGGGTTTCAAACTGAAACTGCCGCCGCCATTGCTCCGTCACCCAAGAGGTCGAAACCCTAGGGTTTCCTGACGCCGCCATCACCGTCGGAGTCGAGAGCGAGGCCGCCAGGGAAAGTTTGGCGGCTAGGAGCACGGGATCAACGACCAAACCCAAAAAATTCCTCGATTTTTTTTTTCAAAACCAGATCCATAATCGGAAAAATTTTCGTGATCCAGATCCAAGAAAAATCGAAGAAAAATCCAAAAAAAAATTCCAAAATGTCACTGTTCACGATAACTTTTTTACTGTTCATCCGAAAAATAAAAACGTAACTGTTCATCCGAATGTTACTGTTCATCCGAGAACAGATCTTAATCCAAAAAAAACAGAGATTTAAGATCAAAAACCCAATTTTAAAACTTAAATCCCTAAGAATTAATCAAAGGTGGCTCTGATACCACTTGTTAGATCTAATAAAAACTTGAGATCTAAAACCATAAAACCATGATTAATTCGAAGAGATTAACAAGAATCAAAAGAGCGGAAGCTTATACCTGAATCCATAGATGAAACTTGAGATGGTTTTGGATCTTCTAACCTTAGGGTTTCTCTAGCTAAATTTCTCTCTAGATGGGGGTGAAGAGAATTAGAGAGTGTAACTCTAGATTAGAGACCATAACCCCTTATTTATAGATGTTGTATATTTGCAATTTGGCCCCTCATCAAATCACAATTATAACCTGGTATCTGCACATATAACCCCTTGATTTTTCGGACTTCGACGTATGTGTTGAATGTATCAAGGGAAAACAGACCAAAGTTAAGAGATTAGGTGCCAACAGATCTTCGGATGTCTTAGAATTGATACATACGGATATTTGTGGGTCATTCCCTACGGAATCCTGGAATGGTCAACAATATTTTATATCATTCATAGACGATTACTCACGTTATGGGCACCTATATCTTATTCATGAAAAATCTGAGTCTCTGGACATGTTCAAAGCCTATAAAGCTGAAGTTGAGAATCAACTCAACAGAAGAATTAAAACCGTCAGATCTGATCGTGGTGGTGAGTACTACGGTAGATATGATGGTTCAGGTGAACAACGTCCAGGACCATTTGCTAGATACCTAGAGGAATGCGGTATCGTCCCACAGTACACCATGCCGGGTTCACCTAGCATGAATGGTGTAGCTGAAAGACGAAATAGGACTCTTAAGGATATGGTAAGAAGTATGATTGCTCATTCTTCTTTACCAGAGTCACTCTGGGGAGAAGCACTTAAGACAGCAGCTTACATTCTGAATAGAGTACCAAGTAAAGCAGTTGCTAAAACACCTTATGAGCTTTGGACTGGTCGAAAGCCCAGTTTAAAGCATTTACATATTTGGGGATGTCCAGCTGAGGCAAGGCCTTATAGGCCAAATGAAAAGAAATTGGACTCCAAAACAGTTAGCAGCTACTTTATTGGATACTCTGAACGCTCTAGGGGCTATAAGTTTTATGATCCCACTATAAGGAATATTTTTGAGACGGGAACAGCAACATTCTTTGAGGATGTTGAGTTTGGGGGGAGAAATAAGGTTAGAGACATTAGTTTTGAGGAGGAATTGGCTTCAGATCCAATCCATACAGTTACTTTTGACAATATTCAGGTTCCTATACCTGTTGTTGCTTAAGAAGTGAATCCGAAACCTCAAGATGACAATGTTGAATAACTCCCTGTTCCAGAAGAACAAACTCAACAACCTCAAGAACCAGTGCCATTAAGGAGATCCACGAGAGAAATGAGAAATGCTATTCCGGATGATTACATTGTATTTCTCCAAGAACATGAGGAAAGTAATGGAATGTTGGAAGATGATCCAATCAACTTCTCTCAGGCCATGAAAAGTTCTAACTCTCAGCAGTGGATTGATGCCATGAATGAAGAGTACAAGTCTATGCAAGACAATAAGGTTTGGGAACTTGTCCCATTGCCAGAAGGTGCAAAACCACTTGGTTGTAAATGGATTTTTAAAACCAAGCGGGATGCAAATGGTAATGTGACGAGGTATAAGGCACGTCTTGTGGCTAAAGGCTATACTCAAAAGGAAAGCATTGATTATACAGAGACTTTCTCTCCGATTTCATCGAAAGACTCTTTCAGAACAATCATGGCACTTGTTGCTCATTATGATCTTGAGTTACATCAGATGGATGTTAAGATTGCATTTCTCAATGGAGACATTGATGAGATGATTTATATGGTGCAACCAGAAAACTTTGTGTCAGGATACCCAAAGAATATGGTCTGCAAATTAAGGAAATCCTTCTATGGACTCAAGCAAGCTCCTCGTCAATGGTATCATAAGTTTCAACAAATACTAGTGGACGATTCTACACAATTAAACTATTAAGCTCAAACAAATGGCTTATAGAGGTTGCTTGCGTCAAGAGAGAACAGGAGAGTCGAAGTCGAAACTTAGAAATGAGATAGAGAAGAAGTGAATCCGGTCGGGATTTGATAAATACCAAGGGGCAGGGTGGGATTTGATAAACAACTGTGTGTCTGAACTTTCAAATCCATCTCTCTAAAATAATTTGATTTGAAATCTTAACCCAACTTAGAGTCCAAACTAGATATTTGAATTTGAAATACCCTAGATTTTAAATCCAGTATTTCAAATTCAAAGCCCAAATCCAAGTTTCCAAACGTATGGAATTCTATATTTCATATTTCTACACATAGAAATATTATAAATTGCATTTTATTCTCTCGAGCAACATTAATGAGATAACCAATTATTAATTAAATTAATTCTTAATTAATTTTGATTAACAATTTTAATTATTATATACCAATTCTATCCAATCAACTGTTTATAAAAGCTCTTTTATAATAGGAGAATAAATATTTAGAAAATATTATCTTATGTTTAATCTATCTAGTATCAATTAATTTATTTTAGACAATTTAATTAAGCAGGACAACTCATATATTTGTTCATGTCTAAAATAGAAATTCCCCCGAACAAAAATTCATTTCGAAAGTATCAATATATAATAAATAAATAAATAGATTTTTCAAAACATACTCAAAACCAGTCAAATAAATAAATAGATTTTTCAAAACATACTCAAAACCACCTGTTGACTGGGTTTTACGGCTTTATGGGATATGCATAAGAAACTGTACTCATTTATAATGAGCACACTAAATTCTCTATAGATATTCAATATTTCCTAAATAAAATCTAGTCAACATTAAAAAAATGTAGTAAGCCAATGTTATATGTTTGTAGCACTTGCAAAGCAAGCCTAGCCATCACATCAAAATATGCTAAATTATTAAATCAGTAATAACAAATCATTAAAAATATGCCAAATTATCAAATCATTAAAATATGATAAATCAATATCCCCTTTGTCATTCACAGATACGGATATGGATATGTCTCGATAAGTAAAACTCATATTCATGTGTTAGAATCAAGTATGGATATGGATATACATGTGGATGTAAAACAAATTTGAGAAAACGAAATAATATCGAAAAAGAGAGAGATTATATGATACACTAGAATTTTATATGTTTGTCATATTTGAAAAGCTAAGATTGGATCTCTTGATTATCAAAATTAGTCTCAAATTCATTAATCTAACAATTATAGGTGTATGATCTACTTATATTCGGATACTTTGAATACAGATCCATATATTTCACTATATAACCATATCCATAACTACATCATATCGGTTATAAATTTGAATACCCATATCCATATTCTAATGAATACCATTACGGTTATGAATGTAGCTTTGCACCCCTAATGTGAAGTCATTGTACTGTTATTTGTTAATGTTGAGCCGGAGACATGATTATGCATGATGATTTTGGCCTATTAACTGCACTTTTTTGCGAAACCCACCTAACTCTTTTCGCATTTAGCATAATTTTTTGTAGATTTCAGCATAATTTGTATTTACAGTTACCTTGGGTTAAAACCGCACATATTGGTGGATAATATAAAATGGTTTACTGTGATAAGAGGGAATATAGAGGCCAGTTTGGATCCTCGAATCAAACTCTATTTAGACAAGGTCTAAGGATTAATAGAGCACTGAGACACGGTCGTAAGTAAATTCATTGTGGATGTGTCTTGTTGCACACCATACCAACTGAAATTCTGTTAAGAAGGAATTATATATGATCACAATTTTATTCGCCCGGGACATATAATAAAAAGGAATTATGCAGATCGAGGCCGATAGACAAAGACGGGCTAATTGCTACCTTAAGAAAATAAATGGACTATCCCATAGAACTATACAAAGGACACAAAAACTATGGTTATGTTCCCACGTCCAGTTTTCTACCTTCGGAGTTGCAATATACAAGCAAGTTATGAGCACAACTACTTATTTCAGAGGAGAGATCAAAGAGATAAAGAGGCCACCATACAAAAGACAAGCTAATTGCTTACATGATGATAACTAAGCATCCGATAGAACTATACAAAGAACACAAAAACCATGGCTAATTTCAGTGTTCTGTTCCCACATACATTTTTCTAGTCTGGGAGTTGAACATACAAGCAATGTCAGCTGCTGTAGTGCAATCCTCTGGCTTCCTGTCCGATACAGGACGAACAAACCTCGGCAGCCTCACCGAGATGCCCCGAGATGGGTGGATCAAGCCTACAGCAGAATGATGAACCGGGGAGATTGTAAAATCTGAAAAAAGGAAAAAAAGAAAAAAGAAAAAAAAAGAAACCAAACAACACAGTTAGCAATGCAATGATATGAATAAATTAAAGATACACCCTTGTTGTCTATAAATATTTTCATTAGAATTTAGATTCGCTGATGCCCAAACAGAGTAATCTCTCCATTATACGTATCTGTCACTTGGATATCGTGCTGAAGTCAATGTGTTGCAGAAAGATCCTTTCTCTTGTAGGTGTTGAGCATATACTCCCTATAATAGAGAGACACTCTGTTGAGCACCATGGAGTCTAATTACTAACAGAAAGTTTAGGGGTAAAATATAACTAATCTCATAGTACAAAGGGCGCATCTGCAATTTAGCCATTTTAAGTATGAACAGGGAAGAGTTTCAATGCGTGCCTGCGCCTCTAATTTCCCAGACCACTTCTGCAGAAAACCAGAGATCTGGTGACTCATCAGTTTGGTAGTATGGAGGCTTTCTTGACAATATTTTCTCTCCAGAAAAGAATTCTTTCATCTGGAGGGTCCATTTAACAAATTCCATTTATAAACTATACCAAGAAACTAGGAAAGATAACAGAAAAGCAAGTCCACTGACAAATTAATTAATGAAGATACCAATAAACTGTAGTTTATTTGCAAAAACTCCATGATATGCTTTTTACAGAAAAGCAGTTTTAAGAAATTTTCCAGAAAAACCAATGGAAGTTCATGGTATTTATTTCTTTTTTGAAACTTACCCTTTCTATCCACAAGGTTTAAGGGAAAGGTTCGAAGGGGGGAAAGAGGAGATTGATTAGTTAAATACATACAATCTGAAGAAGCTTAGGCAATGCAACAAGTCACCAGCCATTTTACCAGAAAATTAAATCCTCACTTTCGTTACTACTTCAGAGTTATGGTATGATAGATAATTTAAGAATCATGAGAATCTCGGCTTAGAACCAACAAGAAACATCAAAAGAAGGTTTTATAAAAAGAAAAAAAAGGTAATGTTGGGAAAATAGCATAGGTTTCAGTCCAAAAAAGGATGTCAACTTGAGCACAAAATTATATCATCAAACTTCATCACAGCTTCGACAGTTTTCGTAAAATAGAAGAGACTTTAAGGTTGTGTTTGGCCACTCCTCCTTAACCAGTTTACTGGTTCCTAACTTGGTCAAGGACTTGATTGAATTTCACAAAATCTGGGCTACAATTCGCCCAATTTTTTAAGGCTGCGTTTGGAAACTTGGATTTGGGTCCTGGATTTAAAATTCAGGGTATTTCAAATTCAAATCTCTTATTTGGGCTCTATGTTGGGCTGAGATTTGAAATCAACTTATTTTGAAGAGGAGAATTTGGAAACCCAAATACGCGTATTTTAAATCTCATCCTGCCCCTAGGTATTTGCCAAATCCCGACTGGACTCCTCCTCTCTCTCATTTCTCAGTCCCGATTCCGACTCTCAAGTTCTCTCTAACCTCTATCTCTCCTCTCCCCCCTTCTCCTCTCTCGTCATCGCATTCACTCACCACCGTCTGTTCCCTCCCTAGGATCTCGTCGCCATCGTCGCCCCCGCTCTCCCCCTCGCCGTCAATCTCAGCTCCGGCGAGGGTTTCGACGTCGTCTCCGCCGATTTCAGCCAGGTGACACTTCACCACACTAGATCCTCACTCCCACTTCCACATCGAAGGCGATTGAGCCTAGCTTGCGACTAAGGGTTCTTTTCGATCAAGCGCCTAGGGTTTCCGTAACATGCGAAAGATTCGACTCTGATTGATTTTTCTTCAAATTACAAGATTGCGTATTGAGGAACTGAAGGATTTAAAGGCGGGAATTGAGGAGGAGGAGGAGGAGGAGATCTTCACCCCTGCGCTTCTCTATGATTTTTTTATCAGGAAGAAGATCCAGGCGGAGTTTCGGTGGTTAATGAGGTCTGTTTTCTCTATTTTCTCTGTTTAGTTGGTAATGGATTTGTTTAAAAGACTGAAAATTTTTCAATCTTACGTAGAATTGTGTTATAATGTTTGTTCGATAATATTTGGAGGTTCTCTGCGTGGGAATTTGGTAGTGAAAAGAGTTGGATTTATATACAGAATTCAAGTTTAATCAATTAAACAACAATAACCACCAGCGAAACTTTCTTGGTTACTTCCAACCTAGTTCTCTTAGGCCTAACTCTAGTACATTTAGTAGTCTCTTCAAGTCTACGACACTCGTGAGATGGAAGTTTCTAGATATGATGCAGACAGAGGGCATTTTCTAAATTATGATGAGTCTACGATATTTCTTGAATGTCATCCTACGTATCTGGTTTTGGCGGTGAGATGATGAGCATAATAACCAACAAGAGTTAGTAATAACTTGAATGCAAATCTTTGCAAACATAAAAGGAGAAGATTGTGTTATCAATTTGTTCCGCATAGTTTGATGATGCACACGTTATTCACCATCATGGTTCCTCTACTTTTTCTAATAGGGATACCAAATTAAAAATCCTTGCAATTCTCAAGATATTATCGTGATTTTTAAATGTAATTCTCTTATCTATAGCTTCTTGAATGTTTATTTTGGGTTTCAATATTTATCTTTTACATTAAGCATACTACTCATATTCCATGGTTCATGTTTCACTTCTATTACTGATAAGCAATATTGAAAATTAAGTCATAAATTATCATGTATCATTATCACTACTCTCCACAAAAATTAAGTCATAAATGGTTAATCCAATCCGAAAGCATCTCCACAAAATTTAGATCATCCACTTTTGTGTGAGGCATTGATTGATGTGTTAAAAGTTATAAGGAGAGCTGTTTTAGATGATCATCTTCAGGTCTACCCGTTTGACATTTTGAAAGAACTCATTTTGTAGCTTTATTAATGTTGGTGATGTAAAATCATCTGAATTGACCTGTTATAACATGATTAGTATTGTATTATTATGCTAGTCCCGGTGTGCCTCTTTTGATATCTCTCGGTCTATCTTCTGGCACTACATGATTTTCTAATGTTACAGAAGACATTTCTGTAACTTTTAGATATTTATTCTATGTTTATTTAATTGAAGACAACTTGTGCTTAGTTTTTATTAATTCTTTGTTGAGTTGAAGTTTCAATGTATAATTCTGAGTTTTATGGCTGTAACTTGGTCATTGCAGTGTTTATTTAGTTTGCTATATGGTCCCCCCCCAACAAAAAAAACAGTGACTTTTTGATTGATAGAGTAAATATCGTGGTTATTATCCTCACACATGCATGAATATTGTGTTCACCACCTGTTATTGCAATCGGGAAAAAGTAATTAAACCCTCTGTAATAATAGGTAATATTTTTCTTTAAAAAAAGGCCTATAGATCTGCAAAATCTAGTTTAAACTGGAAGTTGTAAAGGGTTTAAAGATAAACAGTATGTCAAACTATGAAATCCAATTTAAAAGAGAAGATGGGAAACGGTAAAGTATGACTTTTGTGATTCTTTCCAACATGAGTGCATTACAGGGCTTTTTTGCTTCTGTGTTCTACTGAGGTTATGTTCTTGAATTTTTTTTCATTGATATTCTTGTTTTGTTTCTTAAACAACGTTGCTCTAATACATTTGCTATGGGTTTCTTTTGCTAGGTGCAGTTCCATTTTCTAGTCATGTTCAATGCTTAAAAACTTGGTGTTTGTGGAGTAATAACCTTAAATGAGCCATACGAAACCTTGGTGCCTACATCACTTTATCTTGTAAGTATTTACTTTTATTTGGTGTTTGTGCATTTGGTGTCTTTTAACTCTTCTAGTACTTCCTTTCTGTTATATATTTTCTCCGCATTGTTATATAAGAACATTATATTTTCTATTATATATTCTGACCCCTGATCCCTTCTTAAAAAAATAAATAAATAATAGACCAATAATAATAATAATAATAATAATAATAATAATAATAAAAGAAATTGGTAGTCTCCTTGCTGTTCTATGCTTGTAGAATCGTGGTTTTATAATTTTTAGAAAGTTAGTGTTAATCTGCACTAGAAACTACTTAAGCTCGAAAAATCTCATTGTTGAAGATGATGTTCTTACGTACTTATGTTTGCTTGAGGAAACTGTAATAAAATGAACTCGATGCATGCTTGAGGTTCTTCTCCAACTAACACCTTGTTGAAGATGATGTTCTTATATACTTATGTTTATTCTTAGAAACCATTCATCATTTGTTTGGGGGTTACTGAAACTTGCAAAATGTTTCACTGTCATTTCTGATTGTTCTTGGTACACACTTGCGGTTGTTGCTGCTGCTAGGCAGATTAGTTGAATCGTTTCTGATTTGGTCCATTCATGTGTAATTTGTCTCTATTTATGGACAGCGAGGCTCAAAGTACTACAAAATCAATGAAGGCATTGACATTACCTGTTATCTTTTCTTGTGAAGTAAGCTGGACCTCGTGGACATTCGCATCTTCAAGTAACAGGGGCTAACCACCAATTTTGGGATATTTCGTTTAATCTTGTCAAGGGTTCACTTGTTAGCCTCATGTGAATTTGATTAGTTGTTAAACTTATAGTAGTCCGCACTTTGCACATATGCAAAAGCGTTAGTTGATGTTCAGTCTCTGAGATTGGTGATGCAGATAATGCTGGGGTTATTGTGAATCCAAAGGGGGAAATGAAAGGTATATTACATCCTTTTCCCATGGATTATCCTTTTTTTAAACATCTCAGCATCAGACTCTATTTTGTACATGCATTGTTGTTTGTAGTGAAAACTGTAATGCATAAATTTATTTTTGCTTCTTCATCTAATATATATCAATCGATGTTTTCTGCTTCTTCAGGATCTGCAATTACTGCACCAATTGGAAATGAGTGTACTGATTTGTGGCCTAGGATTACTAGTGCAGCCAATGCCATTGTGTAATATCCAGATTTTTCTTCAAGTGTCAGTGAGGAGTAGTAGTTTCATGTTATTTGTTATTGAAAAGATAAGTGAGTTTTTTTAGTTTCATGTTATTTGTTATTGAAAAAAAAAGTGAGTTTTTTTAGTTTCATGTTATTTGTTATTGAAAAGAAAAGTGAGTTTTTTAAATATGGATCCATATTTGTATTTGATGTTTTTGTTTTCCCGTGACGTACATATATTGGAATTGATATTCTGGGATCAAGCTGATGGTAGCATTGTTTTCCTTTTGTTATGAAATTAAATGGTGATGGTTTGAAGATAATAATGTTGATGGTTTGAAGATAATAATGATTCATATATTGGATATCGTTGTTGAAAATTTATTAATAAATAAGCTACTGGAAAATTTGAATATATTTTGTCAAACTTCTCAGGGGCTTTGTGAAATTTATCCTAACTTCTACCTCAACATAAACCTTAATGTCCGCATAAAAGATTGAGGAGTTAAGAGAAAGCATAAATTTTCTTAAAACACAAATTCTGAAATCCAAGTTCATGTATAATAAAGTGTATCCAAACACTATATTTGAAATCTTTGATTTCAAATCCTTACATTTTGTAAAGATACCCAAACAAAAGATTCTATCAAAT